GCAGTTTGTCTTATCAGAGGATAATGCGGTAATAGAGAGAATTATACCAGATGTGTTGCAGATGAACATAAACGATTCACCATTCCAGCCACCACCACATTTTGTTTGTAAAAAGATTAACCTCACAAACTCATTCCCCTCTCTCTCTCTCTTTCTCTCTCTCCATCTCTCCACCTCTCCGCTGTCCCCTGTTTGGAAACCCCAGGCCATGACAAAGTGAAGATGGGCTGTGGCACTGGCTCTCATTCAGGCCGGCCCCACAGAAGGCCTTTCAGTGTCCCCCCGGAGTAACAACTGCTGCGTTTTATTGCAGCGTGAAATGGGGAGTGAAAGAGTGCCGTGGCTGTTCCTACTTAACCGTGCACAATGTGTCACTATTGGGCAACGAGATAAGAGGACAAATACTGAAATCAAATTCCAGTCTATAGAAACAACCGCATCTTCTTGTTTACAATGCCAAGCCAGACCATTCTTGTTAGAAATTTGTCCAAAAATATGTTAACATCGCATCGGATAATTACATGCATTCCTTCAGCTATTGAGCCACAGTTCTCTTCGCTGTTAAAAAGATTCGCTGTAGACAAAGAGTGGATCCTGAAAGCAGCGGATGCGCAGTGTCCACCCAGATTATTGTTGTCTGTAGTTGCATGGGCTATTTTCACAGGAAGTGGATGCCAACTGCTGATGCTTGAAACTGAGCTTGCAGTAATTGCTACAAGCCTTGAGGATTTGACTGTTTATACACCTGATAAAAACTGGCTGGAACCGCCTTAAGAAATATTACTTTTGAAGCAACGTCTGCATTTTATTTTATAATTAGTTTTTCTAGTATGAGGGATGGAGTTGTGTAAAAAGTGGCATGGATATTGAAACTGAGACACCTGCGTCAGTTTGATGTTTTTTGGCATCATTGTATATTAAGACGGAGCACCCGACTTGTGTAAATAGAAATGGCAGCATTGATTGATGGGAGCGTCTGTAATTATATACAGAAAATCTTATTCGCGCTGGAAAGGCTTCACTCGTCGGCCCAGCTCTCAGGTGGGGGGCGTGTCCTGGTGCACGCTGACAGATCGGCAGTATGAGCACACCTGCAGGGACAGCACTAATGCTTCTGCTGCAGCTCAAGGGTTTAAGCCCTGACACATCTGCTCCTGTAGCGATAACTATTATCTTTATTAAGAAGAAAAACAGACCTACGCAGATAGAGATGTTTTATATGACACCTCGCCTGAAACTGATATAGTACTGCATTTGTTGCCACAATTTGCACATTTTGAAAATGGAGAGATGACACAATGCCATGAAAACAAACTGCAAAACTGCTTGAATTAAAGTTAACCCAAATAAGGACAGCGTTTTGTTGAAAAAAAAAAAAAAACATAAAATATAATATATAAGTGTTTTGCTGAGGATATTAGCAAGCATACAATGACAGAACACAAATTGTACATATTATCCAATGATGGCTGCTCTAACTGTGTATTGGATTTTGGCATTGTAATTAAATGAAATCTTTATCTATATAGCGCCTTTCACAGACACTGATTCCCAAAGCTCTTTACAATTCTTGTGGACATTTTTTTCTCTCTCACTCCTCACTTTTTTGTGATGGAAGTGGGTTTGTCATACATGTGGCATTTTTAGTGGGAGAGTTAACCAGAGCACCTGGAGGAAACCTGTGAAGACAGGGAGAACATGCAAAATCTACACAGAAATGCCTCACTTGGAGGTTGAACCAAACCCAGGACTTTCTGTCTGTGAAGCACAATATCTAACTGCTGCGCAACCAAAGCACAGAGAATTTTCAAATCTGATTTTACAATTATGGCAAACACCGACTGTTATTCCTACTAATACTAAAAACTCGAATTTCGGTGTAACTTTAGCCATACAGAAATAGTTTTGCTCCTTTGATGCTATTCCCATTGACTAGCATAACACCATTTGACATTACAGCCTTAATGTGGAGCCCAAAAAGTGACGACCAGCCCTGTCAACTCCATCACCAAAAAGAATCTATTAATCCGATCTGTAGCTGTGACCCCAATGTGCTATGTTGATTTAACTCACCCAGCACTGTGCACAAGCCCTGGCATCCCAGTCCAACCTCCTACCTCTTCCCTGATTGTGTCCCAGGCAATTCATTCTCAAGGAAAGCCAGAGGAATGCATTCAGACATGCCGCACACTCGATCCGTCAATGAGCAAAATGAGCCTGATCCGGGGGCTTACAGTTGTATGTTTAGTGATTTGTTGGAAGGATTTGGGGTGCTTTAAAAATTTAGCCTTTACACTGGTGAGAGGTTACCATATTTTAGGACACGCAAAGCACTCAATTTACATCTCTGCTGGATGGTGTCATTTGTGTGCGTGGGTGGCTATAGATTCCGAGCCACACTGCGCTGTAGGCATAACTCTCCAAGGACATAATTGAGCACTGAATTATTGATATAAGTCAAAGTATTATACAAAGCAAATGGTGATAAAATGGGCAAAAGGCTCTCTTGACGCAGAGGGATAACTTGGGCGGTGAATTTGTGCATATGTCATGTTAGAAGCCGCGGTTGCACCTGATCAGCACTGGGAGAAACCACAAGCAGTTAGTCTTGGAGCTTTGGGCTGTCATAACTTTGCCTGTGAGCCGCAGGGTGTCCACCATTCTCCCCGTGTTCTTCTATAAATCACAGTTGAGATATCTATGTTCTCAAGATGTGAGGTCATTCAAAACCTCCTCCTTCCAGGCCATTATGAACACAACTGTGCTTTTAATACGCAAAATGATTGTCTATGGAAGAGAGCAAAGGAGAGGTAGTGGACTGGAGAGCTGGCAACTGTAGGCGTGTGCGTGGGCCTGATGGTTGTGACTCGCTCCTCCAGAAGCTTTGGGTTTATGTTTCATCATGTGCCCGTCCACTGCACTCCATAAAACGCAAATAAACTTTTCACTGGCAATAGCATAATAATGACAGAGGCAGCTAATGAGCCAATTAAACTGCCATAAATACAAGTCAGGCTGCATGACTTGGAGTATTTCTTACATCAACTTTGAGTTTGACTCCAGAAATGGCCTCGAAAAGCAGAACTTTTATACGTTTTAATTGGGGCTGTGCTTTGTAGGATTTGCCTCGAGAACAAGGGGCTTATTTACCTCATACTGTAATCAATTAAGAAAATGTATAGGCAGTTTTAGAGTATCGTAAACTGCTACACTTCAAAATGATCTGTTCATTTTGTGGTCAAAGGTTGAGCTCAGAACTGGAGCTGCTTCCCTGTCGTCCTCACATCTCCTGCATATCTCTGCCCCACATAAGAGAGCGTCTCTCAGAGGGATGTGGGGGATTGTGTTGAATATGAACTCTGTGCCGTGTCTTCCTGCTGCAGCGGTGCAGGAGGCGAACTGAAGTGGAGCTGAATGAGTGACTCTGGCAGGTTTCTGGTGGCTGTGGTTTGGGCGGCTGCACAGAAGCAGTGCCTGGCAGCTCCTGCTCTGTGCTCTTTCACACCAGCCTGTTGTGGCCAATACCGGCCGCCCTGTGCTTGCTCTCACTCTGTCCTCAGGCGGACGGATTCTATTGGTATTGCACACTCTGTGGGGTTATATTACGTTCTTTTTTATTGAATTTGATTCACTGCAGCACAAATCTATTCATGGCTGAAATGGGTTTGCATAGGTTGGTTAAGTTTCACTTCAGGACACTGAGCTGGTTCCACACTGCTGCAGTGAATAAACATGTTCCATGTGTAAAACAGGGAATCCCTTCACATTTGTCCAACTGTACTATGCTCCGGCCTGTTGAAAGGGCTTTAATGCCACCGCCAAGTCGGATCAGGTTTAAACAAGAACACTGGCAAGGTGAAGGGTTACAGAGTGAGAGTGCAGCTGTACAAATCAACTTAAAACAGTACTTCACTAAAATAAAAAAGTACTCAGGGTGTACTGAAAGCGCTGATGGTTATGGCACCTCTGGGCGTGCTGTCCTGCTGTGTTCAAGGGAACTTGAAACTTATTAAGTCGAGTATCAGAGGTATTGCACTGCTGTGGAGATTTGATGGATTGTTTGTTGTTAAATAGACAGATCATGTAATTGTAATCTATTGTTAATACAAATGAACAATGATCTATTATGGATTATTCAAATGTGTATTTTTCTTATACAAATTGAAAGTCTTTGATGTATTAAAGAATGTACAATATTTGACCATTGTCTGAACTGTTTGCACAATGCTAACCTGGCAAGAGCCAGATTGATGATTGTGTAGAACTCTAACGCGTTCTCCACGATATCAATCTGGGATTTCTCCCGGAGAATCCTTTCGGGGAAAGGAGGGATAAGCAGCAGAATACTTCAAGCTGATTGGGCGAAGTGACGCTGTGTGCCCGCCTACCAAGGTTGCCGTCCAGAAATGCACAAAGCGCCTCTCGCTGTTCATCTTTCAAAAAAGAAATTGGAGATTCTGCTAAAACTGACTTGAGAGCCTCAGCTACGCGTCCGTCCTCCTGCGTAGCCATGTTTGTTTTGCTTCGGCCCGGCACTTCTTGCTTTCGTCAAACCCGGATATCCCGCCCTAAACCCCCAGACTGGCGCGTGATTGGCTCGCACACCCAGTGGTTCGACTCGAAAAGTGTAAGCGGGAGCGGTACAAGATGTATTCTCGAGTGTTTGTGAACTCACAAATACCGCGAGAATTCAGCTTGCAGGCAAGGTTAGCACAATGCTCCTTCCAAGCCCTTAGAATCTGTTTGACATAAACAATTTATCTTGGAGACGCACAAAGACAGGTGAGAGGTGTGTCCTTAGATCGACAGCTCTTTTGTGTCCGCTTTTGTAAAATGGTGTAAATGCCTTTGAAGTAACGTGTAGGTATATGTTGCAGAGAAGTGGCTGCAGTGTCTTGTCAGGCCGCCAGCACTACAGCCTCAGAAATAAAGCCCATCTCGAACACAGCGCCTCTTTGAAGTGACTCTTTGAAGAATTGACACCCTTCTCTTTTTCACAGTGCCTGGAGCCCTGCAAAGAATCCTGGGACCTAAAGGAAAACCAGTGCCAGGATTTATGCGAGGTATGTCACTACCACAAACACTCCATTCGGGCTCTTCACACTCAGTGGGAAAATTCAAGAAGAGGAAACTTTTGGGAAGGGGCGAAGTGGAACTGACACTATGTTTAATGTATTCAGCATTGAAGTGAATCATAAGCCCACATGTAAACAACACTAACCCTGTTTGCTCACAGCAGCGACGACGGGTTAAACATGAAGATATTCTGACAAATATTTTCCCACTTCTCAGCCGCTGTTTCCCAAGAAGCACTATGAGTGTCTGACGAGCTGCGAGTTCCTGAAGTCGGTAGAGGGCGTGAAACAAGGTGACTGTCCCGCTCCGGAAAAGGCCAGTGGATTCGCAGCGGCGTGTGTGGAGAGCTGTGACCAGGATGCAGAGTGCTCCACTGTGAAAAAGTGCTGCTCCAACGGATGTGGCCACACCTGCCAGGTCCCCAAGAACCTCTACAAAGGTAAAAACCCAATGACACATAGCTAGTTTTCTGCGTGATATTGATGCCTTGCCAAAACTTGACAAAATCTGAATGGGCCACAAACACATGTGCAACAAAAAACTCCATAGACAACATGTCACATGTTTGATATGTTGATTGTGATCTGGTGCAGGTAAGAGAGTTACAAGTCACAAAATGTATTGCCATCCCCCGGAGGCATGCAAAACAGATGCCCGAGCCACCTCACCTGGCTCCTCTCGACAAGAAGGAGCAGCAGCTCTACTCCAACCTCCTCCTGTGTGACCAAGTTCCTCACCCTATCACTGAGGGAGTGGTCAGCCTCTTTGTGGAGGAAACTCATCAGCCATTACCCAAAGCTCATGGATGTTAATCATCCAATAATAGTACATTATGTTTATAAATTAATTTCATTACCCACTAGAATTTTGCTGAAGGAGTGAGGATTGATATAGAGAAGTTTGTGACCCCTTATTTGAAATAATAAAACTAATGAAGTTGTGAAAATACTAGTATATGTGTGCATTATTTTATAATGTAAGAACCGAGGCACTGTTTTGTATCGTGGTGTCATGTTGCCAGATTCCTGCCAATGTAAAGCCTTATTTTGTGTCTGGGAATGCGTAATCCCATATTTCTGTTGCTGTTTACATAATTATCTTAAACAAAAGTGATGGCGAATAATTGCTTCATAGCAAACAATAATTACAAATCTCAGTGACATAAATCACAGAGTATTCAGCATTATAAATCATTCATGTTTGTTGCGCTCCTCCGCACACAGTCCTCACAATGCCGGGTGACTGGTGTTAATTGGAATCCTGTATTCCACTGGATAAGCTTCAAGGATTCATAGACACAGATGCAGAGCGAGGGGCGTCCAATGCAGTAAAAAAAGTTTAATGGCATTGCCCTGGGCGACCTGCCGCACTCTCTCGGGCCGACATTAAGCCACAGGAAAAGCGCGTGCCTCTGAACTTGAAGACTGGAAGTACATTATATTCACATTTCAGCACGCTATTGTTGGCAGCCCCAAGCCATAACAAAGCTGGGGAGATGTTGAAGTGAGAGCAGTAGAGAATTAGTTTAAATCAAGCCTTTAACCACAGCACTCATACTCTGGAGCTCTGAACTCCACATCCAGTACTGTACATACTGTATTTATCAGGCAAACACGTGTCTTGCTTCTTTTCCCACAAATGCGAGCACTTACACTTGATTTGGCATAGTCTCTGGAGATGTCACGGTACACACGGCTCTAAAAAGGTGAACAGCACGTTAATTGGCGGAGATGAAAGCGAGCATAACCTTGAATATTTCAATGCAACCACCGTGTCAATGCGAACCACTCACCGCGCCGCGAGACCTTCGAATCAGGACGCTTTCAAACAGACCGGAGTTCAAACGGCGGGCTCATGGCAGGTCGACACCAACCTCTGATATACACAGAATCTTTTAGTGAAAGTCTGGATGGAATTCCCGCCCCGCTCCTCAGTGTTAAAGGTCTAATTAGTTGCTCATGGTCTGAAGAGCGTAATTGTTTCTATGTGTGCGCGGTGCTGGTGTGTGTGTTCGTACGCTCTACTATGATGATCCATGATGCTGGAAGCCATTAGCAAACACAAGCCTGGCGAAATGGAGCGTTTCCCTGGCCCAGATCACTCTCAGATGTGCCTGACTTAAGGTTAGTGTCCCTGGCTGATGGCAGAGAGGAATTAGAGGGGAGAACTTCATTTGTTAGACGACCCCCTGCTGAGCATTTGATGTACGGCGTAGCTTTTCATTTTTTTTTTTGTCCCCGAACTGCTGCTGCATCTGATTGTAGTCTTTATTGCCTTCTGCTATTGTCATTTTTTTTAAGAAAGTTTTCTCCCTCTGGTCTAATTTTCCACATTCCTTAGAAGACTTAGTGCCACATGTGGTTCAATACTTTTTTTTTTCCTCCCAACGATGCTACAGGCAAAAAAGTACAAGAGGAGAAATGGGGCGAGTGAAAAATGTGGATGTCAGAATTAAATGTAATTTGTGTGGGTAATATTCACACTGTCAGAACAAGTTATTTGGTTAATAAGTTCTGCAGGCACGCTCCGTTTACAGTAAGCTGCATTTGTAGTGTTTTCCTGTAGCCCTGTAATTAGAGCAATCACTATGACAGTGTGTGCGTGAGGATCTCAAATTATATTTCTGTAGTGTAATTGTTGGCATTATTGCAACATGAATCCCCCGCTATCCTTTTTTTAATCGGGCTTCAGCAGTAGTTACATCATAGTTGGACCAAACCATGTGGTGGCCTTTGCAAAAAACTGAGACTTGGATCAAATCTGAGCTGAAAGTTATCTTTGGAGAGCGCGCGCAGAGAGACGGCTTGTTTGTTGTCTTCCTCCGCTCCAGCTTGTGTGGAAGCGCAGTGTGCTGGGTGAGTTTGTGGGAAGATGAGCTCAGAGACAGAGGGGGGAGAGGAATGCTGCGGCACACTAGCTCTTCATCATATGCAAGAAATGTGACACGTTTCGTTTGCATACGCTGCCGCTAAACCACGTAACAATGACCCCCAGCTGTTTCTGCGCACAGATCTCAAATGTGCATGGCAAAAACCAAACGCTCAAGGACCCTCCTCCATCTTTAGGGATTTTTTTATACACATCAATCATTTTACACGCAGCCTATAACGAATGAATAGCCAGATCAAACACTATGCACACGAAACACTATTTGATTATGTTGTTTACCGTCAAACCGCTATAGCCTTGAGAGGGCTCTATATGAATGTGTTGTTGTGGTGGCCCTCTCCGTCACTTCAGCACAAGTCCTGCGTAATGCTTCGAAAGTGCCAGGTGATTTATCGAGAACTACAGAATGCATTCAGTCTTCTTATGTACTTTCAAACTTGCTTTTCCAATCTCCATCTCATTATCACCATGCCCAACGCTCAATCAACAGCAGGATCTGTCTGTGTTACCATAATTTCACATGGGAGAGAGTGACTGGGCCAAACATTGATTTATTCTGTATGGCCACACTGAATAAAAGGCTCAGTGCGATTTGCAATGATGCAAATGGTCTTACAATAGAAACACTGACAGGCTATACAAACAATCCCTAAGAACATCATGTCAAATACTATATGTACATTGTTACTAAGAAGCACAGCTATTAAAACACATCTCATGGCCAGGAAACAGCACATCTATCATGGCGAAGAGTGACCCACAGCCACATGTATCAAGGTACAGGCTGTGAGGTCATGATTATTTATTCTGCTGCTGACAGCCACTTCTTTAGGGAAACCTCTTGTCACTTTTCACTAAGAGCTCTCCACATCTGTGTCCATGCATCTTTAGGAGTTCCACTGAAGCCCAGAAAGGAGCTGGTGTTTTTGGAGCAGCAGTCGGGCCAGCTGGAGATCCGCTGGTCCTCCAAGTTCAACATCTCTGTGGAGCCAGTCCTGTACGTGGTGCAGCGGCGCTGGAACTATGGCATCCATCCCAGTGAAGACGATGCCACTGAGTGGGAGAATGTGGCACAGGTAAGAACCTGCTAAGTCACTGCTCACACTGTTTATCGTATTGTGCTAAAGTTGTTGTGTTACTATAACCTCTGAGCCTCACTTGTCCCAGCATGCCATTTACAGCGGTGAAAGTGCAGCACTGCTCTGAGGCGCACACATGCCTGAACATTCTTCTATCACAGTGTTTTTTAGAGAAACATTGAAAAGACTGATGTTTTGGTGCACTCACACGGAGCCCTGACCCAGTGTGATCCTTGACCCTGAGTTTGTTCTCCATCTGTCCCTCAGACCGCAGAGGAGCGCATCCAACTGGCTGATGTCAGAGCCAGCAGATGGTACCAGTTCAGAGTGGCTGCTGTCAACGTTCACGGCACTCGCGGCTTCACTGCACCCAGCAAACACTTCCGCTCCTCCCGAGGTATCAGCACCGTCTGTGTGTGGCCCTTATACCCTCATCCTCACTTCCTGCTTGACACCCTGCACACAACATTTGCTCCAAACAGGTGGCAGGAAAACGCCCTCTGACAATAATGATGCTCTATACTATTTCTGTATTTCAACATTTGTGCTCAATGGCACCATTTGCCGCCTTGAATAAGTTGTTTCCGCATGAAATGATCACACACATATAGTTTGTGAAGGAGGTGTTGCGTGCCACACATCATGGTTCACTTTCATTTATGCTGTGAACAAAATGAAGGAGATCCACATCAATGTCTTGTTCTCTTCACTAATGAGACCAGACACTCCAATCCAGCGCTGAAACCAGATCTTCATTTATTCCTTCAAAGAACTGAATTTGCCCTGTTTTTATAGTCACATAAAATGTAATACGTCTAAATTAGTCAGAACATTGTGAGTTCCAAATGCAAGTGTTGTCTTGTTTCCAGAGGGAGTGATGTAACCGAGACACACTTCAGATCTTTCAAAGAGATTAGTAAGTGAGCCCCTTTGACGGTTGAAGTCTTAGTCAGCCTGAGTCAGTTACTGAAGTGAGTGACAGGGCAGTGGCTGCGCTGGACACTGCATGGCCCGAGTTCAAAGCTTATGACACTGTCTCTGAAGTTTATGAATATAATATTGTGTATTTATTAGGTGAGCCCGTGTTGAGACGTCAAAGTTTGCCTAAGAGGAACACTGAGTTTCACGGTTGCCATGGGAGTCCTAAAAACAACTGTGTCTCAGCAGAAAGCATTTAGTTTGAGCTGTAATTCATAGAAAGGTACACGGAGAAACTGGCAAAGCTTACTCAGAACAGAGAAAGTACCATGTGCAAAGACTGGCCTCAAACACAACAGTTACACTAGTTTACTGAACCAAATGTGTCTGATTACTGATTTTATCCTTTTACAATACATACAAAAGCACACAATAACAATATCAACCCCCCCTCCCTGACCCAACGTTCAAAGAAATTATGGAAATTGTGGAAATTCTTAATACAAATAGTGTTGTGAAATAAAAACTAAACTGTAATTCCATGACACTGACTCAAACAATATTTAAAAAGTTTAAAGTGACCAATAAACATAGGACAAAAGATAGACAAATGTTAAATTTGATTTTCATTATTACCTCATAATACAGGTGGTATGTGGTTGACCTATTTTTTTTTACAGATTCTTTACTATCTGAAATTTCAATATAAACCTTTGCTGTCCTATTTTAGTTTTAGTGTCATGTTTTTCAGAAAACCCTTGGCTGTCATATTTCAGTGAAAAACAGATTGAAGAGGTTATAATTAAAATAGTAATAAAAGCACATGGCCCTTAATAACCCATATTTTCCAAAGATGGTCTTTCATATTTAGTGGCCTGTTGATCTGTGCTGTCAATCCTCCTCCGCACCAGTCTCTCGAGAGCGCTGGCTGTCTGACGGACTGGGCCAGACACCAGGTGAAAAGGGATTGGGCGGCTGTGGGGATGGAAAGCGATCTCCAATCAGGCCAATCAGGGCGCCGCGCCGATAGATGGATGAGAGCTGTCACATATTTGATGGACTCCCAAGTCATTCTGTCGACTATCGTTATTTATGTAGCCTGGCTATTTCACCTGATTGCAATTTTGCCTCACGTTGCTGTGGTAGGGTCATTTGTATAGACTGAAAGCTTATTTATCTTGCATGGGTGGTATTAGCAACAGCAAGTGTCCTATAGTGCTTTGGTTATTGATGGAGTGTGTTTTTTAGTGTGGGAGCGTGCTGGAGATGAGTCAACAGGCATGGATGTGTTGGTGAAGTAACAACAATATTATGCAAGCATTCAAAATATTTTTTTATAGTTTTGCGTTTCTTGACACTGGTTAACAAATGGTGCGATGTGGTCGAGTTTGTTTTTACATTCACCATACATACCTTTTAGGTGGTCAGCGCTTGTGCTTCACAGAAATCACATGTTGGATATGTTCTATATGAATAAAGATTACTTACTTAATATGTGATTTGTGGCACTTTTGACGAGCCCCGATATGTCATGGTAATACATGCATTAAGAGTTCCGAGCTTCCGGCTTGACCGCACGGCATTGTGGGTAGTTTTCTCAAAAAAAATGGGCATCAAATCATTCTGCCGCATTGGATTACATGTTGTGAATGTGAACTTTCTCTCTTGTTTCCAGCCCATAGATTGTTTTAATAGCTGAAAAATTCACCAATTTCAGACATTTTGAAGGTAAGGTAAAGATCTTTTCATTTAACAAAAAAGCAATGCATTTTTTTCTTGTGGTTTTAGATGTAAACACAACCGACTGACGATAGAGCTACACGCAGCTTATGCTACTTACGAGGATCGAATGCTTACACGCAAGCTTTATAAACTTGCCCAAAGCTGTACTTTGGACATATTTGTCTGGTGTGGAGCTTCTGAATGTAGAGAAGGCCAAATACCTGGGGCAGGTAATCAGGAGTGACCTCAGTGATGACGATGACATTCAGAGGCAGCACTGTAAGCTGTATGGACAGGCTAATATTTAAGCACTGAGATTTCACATGTGTACAGAGAAAGTAAAAATAAATTTGTTTAAAGCCTACTGCACACCTCTCTATACTGCACACCTCTCTATACTGCACACCTCTCTATACTGCACACCTCTCTATACTGCACACCTCTCTGTACTGCACACCTCTCTATACTGCACACCTCTCTATACTGCACACCTCTCTATACTGCACACCTCTCTATACTGCACACCTCTCTATACTGCACACCTCTCTGTACTGCACACCTCTCTATACTGCACACCTCTCTGTACTGCACACATCTCTATACTGCACACCTCTCTATACTGCACACCTCTCTATACTGCACACCTCTCTATACTGCACACCTCTCTATACTGCACACCACTCTATACTGCCAGATCACTGTTTGTTCTTAATAATGTCCCCACTCTGAATGCTCTGATCAGAAATTTTATTTATCCTCGTAAGTAGCATAAGCTACACGTAGCTCTATAGACAGTCGGTTGTGTTTACATCTAAAACAACAAGAAATAAATGCATTGCTTTTTTGTTAAATGAAAAAATCTTTACCTTACCTTCAAAATGTCTGGAAGTGGTGATTTTTTTTAGCTATTAAAACAATCTATGGGCTGGAAACAAGACAGAGAGATCACGTTCACAACATGTAATCCAATACAGCAGAGTGATTTGATGCCCACTTTTTTGAGAAAACTACCCACAATGCCGTACGGTCGAGCCGGAAGCTCGGAACTCTTAATGCATGTATTTCCAGAGGTACTGTAGTGTGTTGTCTGCCTGTGGCCCTGCGTCTCCTGCTCTGGCCCAGCTTCAGCAGGTCAGCCATGGCACATGCAAACACCAGATGAACTTGGGGAATGTGAGCTCAAAGCCAAAGTGAGCAGCATGTGTTGGCCTCTGACCCGCACCCTCCGTCCCGCTGAACACTGTCATCCAAGTGACATGACACCTGTCATAACATCTCATGGCAGATTGTCAATGTTGGACTAATTACTTTACACAGTGTGCCGTACGCGCCCCCGCCCTGTGGCCGCATTCTCTCAAGTGTTGAAAGGTGTCCTGTCTGGAATATACAAGACTAATTACATGTGTAGGAAAACTGCCGGGGCCACTGCTCATCAACTAAGCCTCTTCTTTAAACCTCTGCAGATGTTCCCAAATCGAGGCACTGATTGTGTTTTGATTCGTTGCGGTAACAGATCCCGCTGCGCCTCCAAAGCCCTCTGGACTGCGGGTCACAAACGTCACGGTGGGCGAGGATGGTCAGGTAACGGCACGTCTCAATTGGACCGTCACGGAGGAGCCCGATATCCCCATACATCACTACAAGGTCTTCTGGAGCTGGACTGTGCCCTCCAAGTCCATGGTGCCGTCCAAGAAGAAGAGGAGAAAGACCACAGCTGGGGTAACATTTTTAATATGAACCTACCAAGAAGTTAATATGAAACATCCTTCTTTGGGGATAGTACTCTGGACCAGTGCTACGTAATGTAAATAACTCTGCTCCATACATGCATGGACACTGGTCCTTTGCCACCGGAGACACCTGCTCTGGTCCTGGACAGACGCATGCTGGAGCCAGACATTTGGTCACTTCTGTGTTTATGAGAAAAAGTATTAAGCGTTTGTCAATGTGCATGTGCAGGAGGCATAACACCTGGAGACGCGAGTCTGCAGAGTCTGCACGACTCAACTCATGAGAGGTCCTGTATCTCAGTGCAGACTGAACGCGTTAAGCCTTTTCAGTGATCTACAATGACAATACGCATGAGTTTATTTGTTGCACTTACAGTATAGAGAGTATATAAAGAGGATTGTCTCAGAGAACTCATTTTGCTTGCCCTAAAGGTCTCAGATGGCTCAATGTTCCAAATGTACATCACAGAGGCAGTTCTAAAAGTGCTGCTTAGTTACAACACACCTAAAATAATGGGTTTCAAAATATGCCCTAATGGCATGTTAATCATAATACAATGTTCAGTGTAGATTTAACTATGAATACCTGCAGCTGTCTGACTCCAAGTATTTCATTTGAATGAGTCTTGACGCATCTTCTCCTGAATTAGCTTTGGAAACACGGCACATGTGTGACGTGCCGGAGATAGAGGTGGTAGACACCAGACCCTTATTGACACATGTACAAGTGGTTTCTACTTCAGCACCTCAGGGCTTTGAAAACAACCTGCTGCTCCTGGAATGTCAAAACATGCATGGTCAATAACAAGAAATCATGGAGCTCATGCTGGTGGAGGAATGCTGTAAGTCAAACATGGTGAAGCATCCCTGGGAGGCTTCCATAACACAGCTCCCTCACAAGACCCTGAAGGCTATCTCCACACCACGATACCTTCCTCCGCGCCACATGTGTTCTTAATAATCAGGCCTTTTTCCCATAAGTCTTGGCTGCCTGTGGTTTAGCTGTGTCTATGATGGTGACAGGGATCTAAAGGGAGGCCCCAGTGACAAAGTGATATTGTGCAAGTGCCAGCTTACAGTGGGGTGCTGTGTTGTGTCTTAGGCTCAGAACTGGGTGGATCTGGAGGGACTGCAGGCCAACAGCAGCTACACGGTGGAGGTACAGGCCGTGACCTACTGGGGACAAGTGCGTCTGAAGAGTTCCAAGGCCTCGCTGCAGTTTGGCTCCACACAGAGCCCTGTGTCAGGTGAGCCAACATGGACGACCTGTTTAAACACACTTACAAATGTTTTAACTTCAGCTTTCAATCATACAAATCAGATGGCCATTATGATGTATTCAAATAAGACTTGTGAACCAAGTTCTAAACCTCAGATGATTTGTTTGTTTTGTTTGGATCATGTTTGTAGTTGCAAAAAGTAATGTTTGGTTTGGTATGATTTTCTCATAATATCCTCGCCATAGTTTAAATCAATATGTTTATTTAGCCGTCAACTGAAAAGCAGCTGAAAAATTTAGCAAACAAGGCAATCATTAATATTTCTTATTTGTTTAATTGGTAGCATTCACAGTGATACATGTGCAGCAAATTTCCAGAAGAAACTACATCAGTATTGTTTAGAGTGCTGCTTTAAACACATTATTCTTAAAGTTACAGACAACTAACAGTGTTATTGGACTTGTTGATCAATGCTGAGATTAATACCGCCTTAAGCTAAGTATAACAATAAAACAAATTGCTTAATATCACATACCTGAACCACTTTCTTTTCAACAAAAGCAATAATCAGTCACACATACTTTGCTCTCATTAAATTCAGTTTGAGGAACACCCCTGAGGCTGAGTTCAGGCGGACATGGACTTCTTAATGTCTCTTTCAGTCGATTTAATTGGGAGCATTTTTCTGTTCAGTGTTCTGGCACCATGTGTCTTTTCACTGGTGTGTTGATATCTACTTTAAGTAATTTAGATATTGCTAAATACTTGATGCAATCCAACTGAGATTATAAACTAAACTGCAGAAACTCTATAGCAGTCTTGATGCTGATTTTGGATTGTCACATGCACAACCTTTTGACCTAATCTTCTGAGAGCAGCCTATTTTTGGCTTGTCCCCTGTTGGTTTTCCTGAAGTACAAGTTTTCAGGCAAACAGTCAAATCTAATCATGGGGGTTACACAATGTCAATTATGTTGGAGGAATGCTCAGAGCACATCTGCAAACCAAACCAAACCAGGTCATAGGGGTATATTATATTAAATATCAACCCAGCGCTAAACTGCAGGTGCAAAGTACAATAGAGTGTTCAATTGCCTGCACAATTGGGACATGTGAAGGTTTAATCTGTTTTCTCTGATGTTAAGGGGTGCTAATCACTTTTACCCATGTGCAATCCATTAATAAATAGATCCCTTATTGGATAATTATCAAATCTTTCTATTTTTGTTCGTTCGTTGAGGATTAAAATAATGGCCCAATGTCCGTCTTTCTCAGGAAAAACCGTGTCCAAACAAAGAAAAGATGAGCTCTCTCCCATTGCTTCGACTATGACCAAACGCCCCTCTGGCCCTCTGGAGGTGGGCACGCCCTTCTACCAGGATGGCCAGCTGCAGGTCCGTGTCTACTGGAAGAAACGAGGAGGTACATGAACACATTGATTTATGATATCTCAAATTGAATTAGCACTTCATTAGTACCATCAATCACCCCGCCTCATGGACATCATAATCAGGTGCATGAGTCACTCAGTTTCCAAACAATGGGATAGCCCTCATAAATGAGGTATCACATGGTGCAAATGAAATAAACGGAACAACATGTCTTTGTGGGAACTGGAAATCTGATCGTGCAAGGGAAATTGGTGAAAACCTGCCCATGAACCAGTAGAGCGGAGCCACTGTTTAGTGAAGAACAATAAACATACAGCTTGAGCCGTGTGATGGGATTTATTGACAGCTGTGTTTAATAGCTCCTTGCCTTCGCTTCGCCATCGCAGCAGTGTTTCCAGTTTACAAGACCTGATGTCATCCACATCCAAATGTTTTGGAGCTCCGCGAGGGGTTAAAGCCTGTAGACATGCCTGTCCCAGTGGCATCCATTCTCAGAACCTTCTTTTAATACCAGAGTGGAAATATGGAAACCTTGAAAGCCATACTCTCAGTGTAACCTGTCAAGTCCCATTCACTGCTCTATGTTATGCTGCTAATACATGTCATTGGCCAAGCCAAGCTCCACATCTTGAAGTCAAGAATGTGCGCCCTGGCTGATGGAGCGGCCTGGTGAGACACCAAGTGCTGAATCAGAGTGGGAGAAGATGGAGCGAGCCCAGGGTTGTTAGTAAGCCTGGCCAGTACACCCACAGCTGAAAGATGCTGACAAGGATCAAGCATGGCTTGAGAATCGCAGTGCTAATCCTGTTCCAGGCTTTTTGTGTTTGCTGCTCTGGAGGGTTATGTGCCCTGCTCTTCATTAGTCTGAGCGATGACCCCGGCTTTAACCTGGGTTTCACTCTACACCGTACAGTATATCCATGCATAAGGCCTGGGGAGTTGTAGTCTACAGACATCTGTTTTGTGTGACAGTAGAAAGGAACAGGTTAACTGTGGTATGATTAAACTTTGGCTTATTGTCTGTGTGATCCAAAGCAGTGTGGCCTCTGGGTAGTCTCCAGCAGAGCGGACTGTACAGCGGCTCAGATAGTGTATCTGTGTGCCCTGGGCCAGACGATATCAGCAGTCTGCTGGTGCTACTTCTGACTTTCGCTCCCAGAAATAATTTATCACACACCAGCGACTCCACCTGATCTCAATGTCCCTATTTCTTGTTTTACATCCCACTTCCTTCTCTGTCAGACGCAGCTCAACATACCATGTTTATTTTTTCCTGATTTCCCGGTTCCCTGTAATTCCTCTCTTCTGCTTCCAAAGAGCTCAGGGGCTCCAAGTGCCAGATCTGTGTCTAAGCCTTCAAAGGGCCCCTTTTATCTCTACTACAACTGCGGCCCCAGCCAAGGGGCAAACATAGCATAACTCAATTATTAATCTGAGAAATATTTCACATAACCAAGGGACGCAGCTGAATGAATAATACATTTGGGATGATAGGCAGATATCTATGGTGACGCTGATGTCAGCATAGTGGTACTGTACTCGTACTGCAGTCTGGAGCCGCTGTGGATCAGGCTACTGATCGAGCTGGCTTCAAGAGCATGGCACAGGGCAAGGGAACCAGGACAGTCATGGATTTAGTGAAGGCACAGTTCAAATAAGAAGTGCTGTATCAAGATGATCAGTTTTGGAAATACATACATATGTATGACTGCATTTGATCAATATCAAAGTCAGTTTTCTGAATCATGTCACCATTTCATTCTGTCAGCTCTCTATTAGATAAGACACTGAATAGTATCTGAAGATTTTTTTTATACTTAGAAATGTATGATTTGAGTGCTTCTTAGATTTCTAGTGTTTTTGAAGAAGTGTGTTGAAATAAAGCTCATCTTTTGTGTATCCAAAAAGAATAATGCTATAACTTTCTTCTATGAGAAGAGGTTATTTAAAGCTGGCAATAGACACTCATCTGTCACATCATGCACCAACCCTCTCCCTGTATCCTGTCAGGTAATATTGAAGTTTCACTGACAGCCATTTTTTAATACAAGAATATATGGACCCAAACATAGATGATAAGGGATCTTATCATCACTGGTTTTAAGTTATCTTTAAGCCTCAAATTGCTGCATATGTCGATATAGAAATAAATAGGTTATTCTATGGTGCATTCATTCTACTATTGTGCTCCTAGCACCACAACTGACAGAACGAGAGTGGACAGTGCAAATATGATTTGTACCGTGAGCTGGATGACAAATTACATCCTGCTAGGTTACTGACTGCTCTGCCCTAATAATTATCTTTGCAACAGATATTTTGAGGTATAGTTTGACCTCTCATCTCTTTCTCTCCACAGATCCAGAGGTGAGCCGCTACCACGTCCAGTGGATGCCCGAGTACTGTAGCCACAATGAGACGCGGGCTCCAGAGAAATCGGTTACACAGGTTTGTTTGGCTTCAGATCCCTCCATTCGCACAAATCCTATTCCCTGTTATTGTCTCAGTGCTTTGAAAAACCCTTGGACCCAGAGCAAATCAGTGGCTGTTGTTTTGAAGTATCATGAGTCAGTCGTGTGGTCAGGCGTGTGGCGATCTGGCCAATAAAACGCATTTACTAAAACAATGATTCCCGGAATGAGGGATTGTTCACCTCTTTTGGCCCAGGCGTGGCTCCTGCTCGGACTTGTTTTGGGGTGCAGTGAGGTCGAGTGTTTTGGCTGTGCTTGATGCAGCATGGCAGAAGTCCTCAGTAATCAACACATTCTTTGGGGGGCTGTGCTGGTGTTGCTAGGAAATATACATTTTCTTTAGATCACTGGGACACATTCCAGTGCCAGGAGCTTTCATGCGAGCGCAGCGCCTCATTCACTTTTAATCAAATCTGTTTCATATCACAGAAAACACACGCCCTTACACATGGGACTGGCTATTAAAGTTGAATCTCTTTAGTACAAATATGTCAGCTAGATGTCAGCGATAGGAAGAAACAAGAACAATGTTTTTTGTTTGAATATACAGTACATTTAAAATATCACAGAGGTTAAATAATAAATAATTCCTTTTGAGGAGTCATAGGTTTTTCTCTTTAATTTATTCTTGGGTCATGGCAAACGCTATACAATTTGTGTGCTGTGTTTTTGAGGTAAGCTACTTTGTATATGACTTGGCATATACACGGTTTAAGCATAATTTAATGTTTTTAGATAAATGGTAAAAGTGTCATGGAATGTGTTCATTGTGCATAATTGGTCTTAAATGTCACGTTGTGTATCGATTAGGGCCTAATCTCTTTAGGCGTACTTTGTTAGAGCTATTGTGTGTTTATTTCTTCACTAACAGTGGGTGGGTGATGTGAAGTTATGATAATTGGATTGTCTAGCATTTTGAATTATTCATTTATTTAACAGGGACAATGCATTTATATGTAGTTACATAGTTAAAAGATGCAGCTGAAGTGAGTGATAGCAAATGATAACCCTCAACTTCTGACTTCTGAGTTTTTCCCTACAGTAGATGCAAAATAACCATCAAAATTAAACATGTAACTGGTAACTAAGCTCTTAGATTCTTGGTCGTCATCTCATGAAAGAATTGACTTTCATGAGAAGTATTATGCTTGGTCGTTTCATGTTTAATTATGTGAAATTAATATATTCAGTAGAAAATATTTAAGGGAAACAAGTGTCAAGGCAAACTAATGCTATCGGCCTGTCCTATCCCTATGCTAGAGGAAGGAGTTGAAGTGGTTCTGTATTTCGAAAGTTCCTTTTGAAAATGACCGGCTGCAAACACAGACAGGAGATTATAAAGAATGTGATTTCAAGAGATTAGCTAAACTAAACTGTGGGCAATAGTTTTATTTTACAGGCAGAAAACAGTGTGTTATTGTGGTACAATTTCATCATACTTTTACAGGCCAGTTGCCACTCTCCGATCTTGGAAATTCTGAGATATCTACTTCCCCAAAGTCAAAGCGTGGATCGGTATTTGGCTTTAAATGTTTTTTTTGTTTTTTTTTTTGCAAAGTAAAACCATCAGTGTGATAAAAAACACATCCCCCTCTCATGTGGTCGAGTTGAATTTAATACTTGAACTACATTCAAACCCATTTTTTTCAAGTGGAAAGTCAGTCCTTTAGAGTTTCCGAGATCGCTTGAACGCAGCATGAGACAGAAGGGGCGGAGTTACATGTTTGTGCCAGAAGTTCTTTATATTAGTGGATGGATCTAAAAACAACTTCTGGTCGGTTTTGATGATGAGGGAACAATGTTTTAACGTTGATAGAGTGAAGAAGTAAATATATAATTATTATTTAAGAAAAGTAGGATTTTTTGTCTCTTTTAAAATAACTAAATGGAAGGTATCCCGAACAAGCTGCTCTAAATTACAAAATCATTTGAAACTCAGCTTATCTTTATTAATTCTATCCTAAAGACATTTTGCCCTGTCGCCTTTAATCAATTCCAAAGCGGTTCAAAGTGTAATGTGGGGCACGCCTGATATATTCTGCCACAGCTATTTTAATTATCTCTGCCACTCCATGGGTCCTGACCCTGTGACCCAGAGTCAAAGTCGTCTGAATAATGACTTATAATGTATTTGCTGGCACAGGAAAACTACATCAACCTCCCGGGCCTGCTGTTCTCCTGCAAATACAAAGTCACCGTGCACGCCCTCAAATCCAAGCGGCGCTCCAAGGACGAGAGCACCACCTTCCTCACCCCATCCTGCGCCACCATCCGGGGCAAGACACACAAGTACATCCCCTGTCCCGGAGAAGGAGGTGAGTGGGCCGTTCTGACTCGTAGAGGTCGTTCAAAATCAATACACCAGTCAGATACTGTAGAGTGATCCGGTTGTGTTTCTCCTCTCAGCTCTCCCCAAGGTATTGGCTAAACCCGAGAACCTCACAGCGTCCTTCTCCATGAACGAAGGGAACATCACGGGGAGCTTCGTGTGGCGCGTGTCCAGGCTGGCTCCCAGTCAGAGGATAACGGGATTCCAGGTGACGTGGGCTGAGATGACCAGTGAGAGCAGGCAGAACAGCCTGCCCAACAGCATCATCTCACAGTCTCAAATCCTGCCACCGGTAAGCTGGACCCTCACCTCACCACTCCCATGAGATGTACTGTACATGAAAGGTATTATGGGAGATTTTACCACAAGTTCCACCTCTCGTTTTGCACAGGACGACTGTATTTGTCTTTATTGCATTTGCCACGCTTTGATTTTGGAATAACCATATTTGTGATCTTCTGTGTATGTGCGGCCGGCCATATTCGAGGCTGGGCACAATCATTGAGATAACATGACATTTTCCTTACTACCTTTAAAGGGGCAATGACATGCTCATGTTTTCTGTATGAGATCATCTATGACCATTGTTGCTTATTATTATGTACAGTAGTACTTTTGAAAACTCTATAGATTGATCTAAAACCAAAGAGACGATATCACACACTTCTACATTCACTCCCGTCTGCCCGCTCTGGAGAAGATGCATGTACAGTAGTCAGTGATTGTGACACCATTCATTCAACTCTATTCATATTTTTTATTGAATGACAGCTAATGAGGTGGAGTCACAGCTGTGTCTAAACAGGCGTTAACTGGACTTTCAACCACAAGTAATCAGATTATTCTTTTAAACGTGGAGATTTCCTCAGACGTTCATGTGGCTCATGTGCAGAATTTGACTCTCAGGCACACTGTCAGTCAGTCAGTGGTTTGGATCTCAGTTCCAGTGGTTGGAGGGTTTGGCAGCGCCTCCTTCATCTCCTCTTCTCTGCCCCAGGGCAGCTGCAGCAAGAGTTGTGCTGCAGATTGAAATGAATTATCAGTGAAAAGCATAATTTGCTGTTTATTTCCTTAATGAGCTGTAAAAGGCAGGGATTCCTTGATTTTATTTTGGACATAGTGACTTTTCAAACACATTCAAAACAACAACTAAACAGCCTCTCTACCTTACAATACTAACACCGGAAAACAGTGTGAGTATCAATTAACACATTGAAATGTGAAATCCTGAAATGTGTAACAATCTTTCCCACCATCACCCTGAACTCTGTTCACTGCACTTAGAACATTATAACCTTGCTATGTTGCCACATGCATTAGTGTAATGTGTTTTCTCTTCTGCCTTTCTCCTGTCTGTCTGCTCGACTCTGGATAACAGTCTTAGCATGAATCCTGCGATAATCCCTCGTGCGCAGACAGCCGGGACATCTGAGGAAGTGTTGTCCTGCTGCATCTGTTCTACTCTGTCTTCTGTACTTCTTCTGTACTTTGTTCCCCGGGCTCTGCGTCTCTCTTCTTTCATCCTGCGTGAGAGCTCTGAAAACGCCACTCTTTGGCATAATCTGCTCCATCAACAACACGTTCCGCCTATCTGCACCTCCCAGCCTCTGGAGCTCGTCTATAAATATAACCACCCACTGCACGCTTTATCAAACCGGCTGAAAAGAAGACAGACACGGCCGAAACCTTATGAAAACAATGTCTTTGTTTTTGTCTGCAGCTGACACTCCATTCCCCCCGGTTTATGGCCTTCCCTGTACAAGCCCTGTCATAATCATGGACATGTTCTGGAATATTTCATCTCACTGCTGTTCTTTCTCTGCCCCTTCTCTTTCCAGGACCACAACTCTCTAGTGGTGTCCAACTTGCGGCCATTATCCTACTACAGGCTGGAGGTGCAGGTCATAACCACAGGAGGGGAGGGGCCTGCCACTGTCAAGACTTTCCAAACCCCCAACATTTTACCTGTAGTTCAACACAGTACGTATCAGGCTGAATATACTGTTTATTTTCCTTTTCGTATGTGTGCTTTAAAACTATACATTTCTTGGTGTTCCAAAATGTTTTATAGTCTGTTGCTTACATGTGGGCCAAAGTTAAGACGTTTATACCACTATACACAAAAGTCACACATGGGACAGTTTTTGGCATAAACAAGGCGTGTAACAAGAATGAAGCTCTTTCCGTCAAAGTTTGGGATTTGCACAAACTGCAATTTCCTTTATAAAGTTGTCCTTGTAACAAATATGTTTGAAAATCTTGACATTGCTCCATGTGGATGATAAAAATAGTAAATCCATTATAGTGCAATTCTTTGGGGTCCTGGGTTTTCTGTACTGTGATTTTAGAAGTCTTGAAAGTCAGAAGTTTGTTTTGATCCTTTTATTTTGACGCGTTCCTGACTTCCTGAAAAGTCAACATGGGTCCAAACAACATGCTAACAACATGCTAACCTTTTCCACTTGTTGACAGAGCCTTTCAATATGGATAAAAAAAACATGGGTCTGCAGCGTGAAAAGGCTTTAAACCTGTACATTTCTTGGTGTTCCAAAATATTTATCAAAAAATATAATCCGCCATATCATAGCCCAATATTGTATTTTTCTCAAATGATGCAAACCACTTTGGAGAGACTACTCTGCATGCAGATATACTGAATATACCGTAATTATTACATTTATATAACAAGATGATTTTGATGTTTTATACCTTTAAGCCTCTATTTTGCCATGGTGTTTTCAATGAAACCAGGACATCCTAATAACAGATGATATTCCCTAAACTCTATGTCTGCTTTTGAAATAGATTTTGATATCTTAGTGGGACTATCCTGATTAAATAAAGGTCAATAAAATGAAACATAAACCAAGCTATAGAAATGCAAATGAAAATATATTGCCACGTACATGGCAGAACATGAAAGAAGCTGCATTATCAGCGAAGCAGTAAATACATTGCCGCTCATTTCCCCGGCAGTCATAAAGGAAGCCCTAATATAAAGCATTGAGCATATGGATCATAAATGTGCCTTAAAAGCACATAAAATATATTGCAATTCGCGGTTATGTCAACACAAAGTGAGGAAGTTGGCTGCACTTCCATTACCTTATCTTCTGGGAGGAGGTATCATTATTCCAAACATAAAAGCAGTATGTTTTGTCAGCAAAGGCAGGAGATGTGAACAGATTTACAGATCTTGATAACAGGTTAGCCAAGCACAACTCAAGCAGGAAGAAACTACACGCACTGTACAATTACTAAAAATGTGAACTTGCTTTTCCAGGGCCACGACTTCGACAGCATCACCACCAGAAAGCTACTGTAGAGAGACATTGAATGGGCTACAAAAAAAATCTCAAGTTTACCCAGTGCTGAGGAGAAACAGTGGAATTCTGGAGGAAGGAATGTTCGGAGCACAACGGACCATGGACTGACCCCATTCCCCCAAAAATGTCCCAGTTTGGGAACCAAGACATTTCCCTCGTGCCCTGCTCTGTCACTGGAACTCTCGGACTGTATAGTTTGTATTTAAAAAAAGCTCTTCTGTGATCCCAAGCACCTCTACGCAAGTTCAATAATCCGAAATATAGAAAAATGACAAAGAAAGGAATTTGGAGCCAAAACGGAGATTGATTGGAAATGCCATCGTCCGTGTATGAAGACCGGAAAGATTCTTCTATTTATATTGTGCTACTCAGTAAAGTCATACATAATGTAGCTAAATTCATTGTTGTCTAATCCAGGTAATCCCATAGTACGTTGCATGTAGTACAATTACTTTTGAATTTGTAAATGAATAATTGCTTCAAATTGAAAGCCTATAAAGCAGGGGTCTCCAACCTGCAACTGGGGAGCTACCAGCCACTCGCCAACCTTTTTCAGGTAGCTCCCCAAAGGATGTAGAATTTAACACATGATCTGGAATGAATACATTTTGAGTCATAAATATAGGGTTATACAGTATTATGGTATATTTTACATGCGTTCTCTATGTTTTGTCGTAATTATGACGTAGAGTTTTATTACGACTGCAAAAAGGAGTAGCTCTCTGCATCTTCTGTTGTCTAAAAGAAGCTCTCCAATTGAAAAAGGCTGGAGACCTCTGCTATAAAGGTTTTTGCATGGCCATTAACGTTTCAGTTGGCATGAGATAATGTCTGTTACCTCTTTTTCCAACGTGTTCGTAATATTTCATTAACAGATTAACAAAGAACTATATTGGGAGTCATATGTAATGTTTATTAATGAAATTATTCCTCGCGTGAAAAGATAAATTGTACATGTTCTTGGCTGTAGAAATATTTGTCGTGGCACAGTCAGTGAATGTCTATATTTATTTATGTGTGTATTACAGTTTGGTTTGGATGTGCGTGAATGTGAATGTTCTGTGTGTGGTTTAGTCAACGTTTTTTGGAACCTACAAAAAATAATCTTGTAAAGACATTTTGTAAAAATTGAATTGTAAATACAGTCTTATGTTACATGTTATTTTTCCATGGTAGAAACTGTACAAACAGCTAAGTAATAAAATAATCCATAACTAGTCCCTTCGCTGTGTGTGTTTTGTGTATGCAGTAAATAGACAAGCCTCTCCTCCCTGGGCTCCACGCTTTGGCAGAGGCCTGTGCTTATTTTGGCTGAAGAGGCTCATCATAGCTCAGACTGTGTACAACATAGTCAGTGATGGTTCCAGGAGCCTACATGCTCTTACTGAATCCAAACAAACTGCTTAGAGAGTTCAGCTGCTGAGAATGTCCCCCAGCTAAGACTCAACAGCCTCTCCTCCTACCAAAGGCCTGTCCGGGCTCAGGTCTGATCTCACTGCAGCTTTTCGTCTTCTGAAAACTGAGAAAAATAGTAAATAACCTGAAGATTGGACTAAATTATGAACACAAACATAGCAATTAGACATACTATTGTGCATTTCAATGAGGTATGTTCAAGGTTCAAGGGATCATTCTTATCCTCGCGGGGTATAAATGTTGATATGATCACTACCATTGTAACCTGTCGACAGTTTTCTCTGGATTTTTGGCTATAAAACTCGTGTCAGATGAAGTTTTTTTTCTATTTGCAGTATATTTTATGTATTTATTGCAACATACGGTCAGTCATACATTAGACAGGACGAAAAAATGAATGTAGACAAGGTTGATCTACAAAAAAGACGGAAAATACACTATCTTTTAGCATATTTTGACCTTTTAACATTTTGCACACTTCCACTTTTGTCTTATCTTATCTCTCTATACGTCTCAACAATTGGGACTTGTGGATGTATACTGTACGTACAGGAGTGTGCAGTATATTGTGCATATTAAATTGACTGAAAACCAATGGGAAAATCAGTGGCTCATTCCAAAACTTGATCACTCATGACTTTTTTTGGTTTTGCCATTTGACCTGTGCAAGCGTGTTTTGACGCAGACCCAATGCCAGGATTCTTTCAATGTCAGTCAAACTATTCATTTATTTGTACTAACCAACCAACGCAACATATTCAAAGGAATCTCAGGCAGGTTACTTATGTCATAGCTGAACGTAAGTAGGTAATCTTTATTTATGTAGCGCCTTTCACAGAGTCACCAAGCCGCTTTACTTTTGTTGTGGGTCTTTTTCTCACACTCTACGCTGTTTTGGAAGCAGGGTCGCCAGACCTATTGTACATGTTTTAGCGGTAACCAGAGCACCCAGGGGATGCTTTACGCAGATACACAGGGAGAACATGCAAAATCCACGCAGTAAAACAACTGTGCAAATGGAAAATAAACTGAATATTGAATCTTGAAGTCCCTGTGAAGTATTGGTAAATGTTGCTGTCTCTGCCATTGGAAAACTTGAAATGTAGCCAATCGCGTACCACCTGCATGTGAAAACCAGATCCTGTCAGACCTTTGAAGCTAAGCAGGGCATGGCCTGGTTAGTACTGTGATGGGAGACCTCTGGGAAGCTGAGGTCTCCCGTCACAGTACAGCTTTAAAGTGCCAAACTGTTGTTGTGTCCTTCACCCACATTGCACATACTGGTTGCCTCGCTTCTGTCAGTCTGTCCCAGGGCAGCTGTGGCTACAGTAATAGTTTATCAGCACTGTGTATGGAGTAAATGAATATTGCCATGTGGAGCGTCTTCGAGTGTCTGAAATAGTAGCATATAAAACCAATGCATTGTTAAGTATAATAATTCAAGGTTGTTGCAGAATTGGCCTGGTCTTACCAAACCATCGTACTCATTTCCTTTCCTACATCTGGGGAAATTATAATCAACCGGAGTTTACGGATGGCTAAGGCCAGACTATTGCTGAATTAACCAATATAGCAAACCTCAGCAGATCTTATGGCATCTTTGAACTTGGGCACACACACATTTCTGCCCTCACTGACATTTGCATAAGTGCTAAACCCAATCTCCTGTTTTCACACAGTCCTCATTCAGAGGAAGGCCTCTCACTTCTCAGGCTGTTTGTTTATGTACAGTTCTATTATGTCACAGAGATTAGTTCCTCCCGGTCCATGCACGGTAATCCTTCTCGCGCTCTCTTTTGTAGCCGCAAAGCCAGTGTCGAGCCAAGCCTGCCTTTTTTCTGCGACGCCTTTCACGATGTCACAGTCTCCCCAATACCACGGCCCTCAAGTGTGAAAACCTCAAAACAACAGGGCCTCGTTCCAAAGTCCTTTTGAGGCACGCTGCAAGACGTCCAAGTCTCTGCGGGCATGAAAGAAAAGAGAAAAATGCTACAACTAAATAATAGCCCGCTCCTTGGTACAAAAGCTTTGTCTCAGATGGTTAAGGGCCAAATTCGTTTTGCATGGAATGATGTTTTTTTGGAGCAATGTGGGGGATATTTTGTGGAAGTTAAAGGAGACATATGATGCAAAATCGACTTCTTTTTTGAGCTTTTGTCATGGGGTGAAAAACGGGTGGTGGGTTTTAATAAGGTTTTAATTATGTTTTTATGCATGTTGTGTATGTGTGTGTATTTTTAATATTGTTTTTTAACTTGCACCACCAGAAGCACCCCGGCTCCCCACGTGACGACAATTAAAACACCTGTGCCTTGCGTACAAAAAGAGATGGGGAGGGGTAGAGGAAAAAGGAAGTTGGAGAGTGAGACGCGTCCTCCAGGTCGGGGCCAAGAGAAGGATTTTTAGCCTCTGTTTAAACTTTCATCCCGTGCTTTTAGCTTAGGTTTTATTGCTTTTATTCATTTACTTGTTTTTAATGTATTTTATGATAAATGTTTTTTGATTTGCTTTTAATCCAGTGGTCTCCTTTTTAAACCCGGGTCCAAAGAACCTGTTTTTCCACCTGTGATATTTTGGCGTCGCTGACAGGATGGAAATGGACCCGCTGACCGAGAAAAGACGGCATTCACCACACCGTTTGGCTTGTATGAGTTCGAGCGGATGCCCTTTGGACTATGTAATGCGCCAGCCACATTTCAGAGGCTCATGCAACAATGTTTAGGTAGCTTGGTGAATGGCTCGTTGCTTATCTTTTTACACTATTTACACAAACTTATCTATTTAGATGATATGGTAGTTTTTTCCTCAGATTATGATGGCCACCTGAAGCACTTGGAGGAGGTGTTCCAGAGACTGCATCAACACGGCCTGAAACTGCAGCCGAGTAACTATGAGCTGTTTCAATGCAAGGTGACTTTCTTGGGACACGTCATCAGTGAGGAGGGCGTTGCCACGGACCCAACTAAAACCACAGCGGTGAGAGACTGGCCCATACCTCAATCAGTGAGACAAGTGAGATCATTTCTCGGGTTTGCGGGCTGCTACCGGCGGTTTATTCCTGGGTTTTCAAACATTGCTGCCCCATTAAATGCTTTAACCCGGAATGTTGCCCATGAAAGAAATTCCAGCCCCGTCCAGTGGTCTATAGAATGCCAAAACTCATTTGATAATCTGAAGGGGGCATTGCTAGATGCACCCATTCTGGCCTATGCAGATTTCCCACAGCCCTTTCGATTATATACAGATGCCAGCTTCGAAGGACTTGGGGCTGTTCTGTCTCAGGTACAAAGTGGGAAGGAACGGGTAATAGCATACGCCAGTCGAAGCCTTCAACCTGCTGAGTGCAATGACCAAAATTATAGTTTGTTTAAACTTGAGCTCCTGGCCTTGAAATGGGCAGTAACGGAAAAGTTTAACGACTACTTGTACGGTTCTGACATTGTTGTGTTCACAGACAATAATCCCCTGGTCCACCTTGAGACGGCTTGGCTTGGGGCGGCTGAACAGCGTTGGGTGGCCAAGTTGGCAAATTTCAAATACACAATCCGGTACCGTCCCGGGGCTCAAAACAAAAATGCCGATGCCCTCTCTAGG